CCCCCCAGCTTCAGTTGACATCCTGCACCCAATCAATAATACGACCTTCTAGAATGTTCCCAAAGATTCTTCCCCCCGCCCCCCCCCCATTGCATCTGGATTGGCAAGAAGTTCCCACTTCCCCATCCCAGGCCTGTCCCTCCTCCTCCCCCTTTACCTGCTGTTCTCTCTAGAACATCAACAGCCAGGTCGGGCCTGAGAGGAAAAATAAAAGTGAACCTCAGGGGCAGCCTGGCGGCAGAGGACTGGGTGGAGGTCCAGGAGTCATTCCCAGGGGCCTCACCTCTGCTGTAGCTTCTGCTCCTCGTCCTTGCTTCTGGGGGGCCCTGAGGACAGTCGGGGTACGAATTAAGGAGACCTTCTTCCTAGCCTCTCCTGACAGCTTCCCCAGGTCACTCCACCCTGCCCCTGAGACCTACCCTGCTTCATCTGATTCTGGCGATGGAGGAAAAAGAGGACCAGAAGGAGGAGACAAAAGAGGAAGATGACTGAGACCCCGATGAGAATATAAAGATGCTCAGCACTCAGGCCTTGGGAAGCAGGTGCATCTAAGAAAGACAGAAACAGGTTTTCAGCAGTGTGCATTTATTGAGCACCTACTGTATACCACACACATGTCACATGCGTGTCATAAACTTACTAATATATAAAATCTCTCAGGTAAATAATAGTCCTGGAGCACAGGGATCGTTATCCCCTTCTTCCACCACCGGAGTCCTGAGTGCTGGGGCCCTCTGCACAGGGACACAGCTGAGGCCATTGGCAGAGTGGGAATCTGACCAACCCCAAAGCCCAACCTCTTTCTCCTTCCCCAGGAGGCACACGCCAGGCTCACGCTCCATAGTCCCCATCACTCACGCTCATTGTGACTGTTGTCTGATGGCCTCTGCATGGGTCCTGGGAGGGAGGAATTAGAAGGAAGTGGAGTTAGTCCTGAGCTGGACAGAGAAGGCTCTGAGTCCTCCCATGTCCACTGTGGGGATCTCTCTTCACTCCCCACGACCCTGACCGCTCCTTCTAGACCAACACCGACCAGCAGAGTCTTCTGTAATGATGGAAACTTTCTACATCTACTGTCCAGTATGAGAGTCACACGTAGCTGTTGATATTTAAATTTATTCAAAGTTGAATGGTGTGAGAAGCCTGCTGCACTGTCTGCATCTCGAGGGCTCAGTGACCCCATGTGCCTGATGCCATCCCTACTGGACAGTGCAGATACAGCACGTTTCCTGGGCATGAAGCTGTGGTAGACATCGCTGCTCTCTGCCCTCTGTGGATCTAGGCAGAGACCAACCACCAAGAAGAGAAAGGGAGACTTTCCCTCCCTGACCTCCTTCTGGGTTCCCACCAGAGTGCAAGAATCCCCGTGTCTGATTTTATCTGCCCTCGCGGCAACCCCCTGATGGGGATGTAACCCCCCCTCCTGTGGGAAGAATCCAAGCCCCGATGTGCTCCTGTTTCCTGAAGCCCTGCAGCTAGCGGGCGAGTGTGTGCGGCGCCGCCCAGGCTCCCTGCGCAGCGCATTGCAGGCCGGCCTGTCGTCTCCTCGAACATTCACCCTCCTCTGCACAGTGCACGCCACTACCCAATTCACAGGTAACCAAATGGGGTCCTGCGGGGCTCCCCAAAACCCAGGGTCTGAACCAAGCGTCTCTCTTCTAGGAACAGCGTCCCTCCCCTCCCCCGCTGCCTACGTAGCATCTTCAATATCCTTCAAGAAAGGCAGACGTTCTCTCTTGGAGTGTGCTTTCTGTCATGCCTCGTCCACGTTCCAAGGTCCAGGACACCACCCGTTATTCTACACCATGACTTCCTGGGCTTGCTCTTCATAACATTTGCCACCATTTAAAATTGCATATGTATTATATATGTGCAATATTATACATTTTATATTATTTATAGCTATATGTATCATGTATTATGCAAATGTATAATATATAACATATTTTTAAATTATGTAATCTTGACATAGACATAATTTAATGTATATAGTGTTAATTGTATATGATTTATAACTCATATGTTACATATATTCACTATAACATATAATGTATAATTTATATTAAATCTAAACCTGTAATTAAATATAAAATATTTTTTCTATTATAGTTATATATAATGTATACATAATAGATGGTATGTTTACATTAATACCTATATTTATTTATTAATTATAACAGTTGAAATTTATTATACTACATAGTAAATTATCTTTCATATAATATATAATATACATTATAGTCATATGTAGTGATACACTAACATATTCTTATTATATAATTATCTTCCTTATATACATAATATATGATGGAAAAATATTTATTATAATTTAAATTATGGATCTGAAATTCTCCATTGCAAATCATATATTTTTATCTGTATATACATGTATGAGAACCTGTGCATTTCTATCGCTCATTCTAATTGTTTCTCCCCATTGAAGTTCACAAGGTGGGAGGCCATTTCTCCTCATTCACGGTGCATCACACCCAGAGCCTTCAGTGCCTGGCACAGTCCCTGTGAGGACAAAATACTTCCTCAGTATTAATAGCAGCACCTCTCCTTTCGGGTTTTCTAATCAGCACTGATGTCAGCGCCGTGGGTACCTGAACTCAAGTCTCCCCTAAACGATTCTACTGGGACAGCTCTTTTACTGTCTATGTTTCACCTGAGGAATTTGGGACACGAGTCACCATCAGGCATGGAGCCGGGAGGTGGCAGAACCACCGGGATTTGAACCATGAACCCAGCAATCTGGCTGCAGGAGGGTCTGTCCTCGTAACCTTTATATGTCACTGCATGAAAGGTGAGAGAGGAGAGAGGGAAGGAGAGGGAGAGAGACAGAGAAACAGAGGGTAGATATTCCCGCAGACA